ATGCTCTCTGGGAGCTCATATTCTGGTGAGAAGATCCAGATATAAGCAAATAAATAAAATATACTGTATTTTAGATGGTGATAAATGCTATGGAAAAAATAAAGCCAAGGTAGTAGGTCAAGGGTTGCTGGAGTGAGTGTGGCTCTTTTATACAGGGTGGTCACAAAAGGCCTCTCTAAAAAGGTGACATGGGGGCAGAGTGACACAAGAGTGAGGACACACTTCATGCACAGACCTGGGGAGAAGAGAGTTCCAGGTGGAAGGAATAGTAAGTGCAAAGGCCTTGGGGCAGGAGTATGCTTGGCTTGTTCCAGGAAGAGTGAGAATACCAGAGTGGGACCAGGCACAGTGGCTAACACCTATAATCTCAACCAGTCAAGAGGCAGAGATCAGAAGGATCATGTTTGCAGACGAGCCTGGGCAAAAAATTACTGAGACTACAATCTCAACAAGCTGAACAGTAATCCCAGTCACACAGTAGGCATAGGTAAAATGTCTGCATTCTGAGGCCATCCCTGGGCAAAAACGGAAGATCCTATCTGAAAAATAACTAAAGCAAAATGGGCCGAGGGCACTTGCCTTGTAGAAGCTTGCCTAGCAAGCTCAAGGTCCTGAATTCAAACACCAGAGCATAAAGAGGAGAGTGGGTGGTGGAGAGCTTGAAGAGGCAGGAAATGAGGTAAGGCAGGGCACTCAGGAGACAAGCGCTATGGTGCTTTATAGGTGAATGTGCTATGCTGGGCTTTTAGACCTTCTCTCTGAATAAGCTAGGAGGCTATGGAAGGGCTGTGAACAAAGTTTAATGAGATGGGCACCTCACACCTGTAATCCTAGCTACTCAGGAGGCAGAGAGCAGGAGTATCACAGTTCGAAGCCAACCCTGGGGAAACAGCTTGTGAGATCCCATTTCAAAAAAACTCATCACAAAAAAAGGCTGGTAGAGTGGCTCAAGGTGTAGGCTGAGTTCAAACCCCAGTACTACAAAAAAAAAAAAAAGTGTAACAAGCTGATTGGTCTTTAAAAGATCACTCTGGATGCTATGTTGAAGCCCACTCACTCAAGGGAGGGAGAAGTTAGGAGGCAACTGCTACACAGATGGTGGTGGCTTTGGCCAGGTAGAAGTGACAGAGTTAGTGAGAAGTGGTCACATTTTTAATATGTTTTGAAAGTAGTAAGATTATTGCCCGGCACGTTCCCAGAATATGCAGTATTTAAGTAACGTCCTTAGGGTGAGCAGCTGCTCAACACACAGAAAAGGAGAGGAAGGAACTAGAAGTCACAAAGGCAAAAGGGAGGAAGGGGCAGAGCAGAGTCAGGATGGAGCACGAAAACTGTATGACTCAAGTTTCAGATCAGATGGTGTGGCAGGCAATACGTAGAGACTGGGTCAGAGAGGTATAGTCTGCAGTCTTATGGTAAATGACCTTATAAAGCAGATATGCTGAGGAGTCTGAACTTTACCTTGGAGGCAAGAGAGACTTAGCAAAATGTATAAAGCAAGGAGGTGCAAGTTCTGATGGCACTGGAGGGAGAATGTTGAAAGTGAGTCATGACACTGTCTGCAGGATTGGAAAAAAAGGAAGCCATTTGAAAGACTCTGAAGAAGGAAAACTGCCAAGGCTCAGTGATTGCTGAAGATAATAAGCTTCCCAATTTGGAGAACAGGATGAGGTCAATACCGTTAGGGAAAGAGCAGGTGCCTTGTAACATAGATCCTTACGAAAGTTTAGGTTATTCATGGACCCCTGGGCTCCAGGACCTCTCAGGCCTCCAGGTGATCTCACTCAGGTAGCAACAATCTTCTTGCTGTAGACTACACACATTCCCATAGGACCAGGCCTATCACCACTGACCTCATCTTCTCTCACTCACTTCCCAATCTGCCAGCCTTGGGTACTTTTCTGCTCAAACGCACTCTATAGGACCCACTGTTCTCGAGGCCGAGGCCCAGACCATTCCATCTCAAGTATTGACATGGCTTGTTCCTAAACCTCCATAAGGAATGGCCTCTCACACCAGCCACCACACAAGAAACAAACCGAAAGTAAGCAGGAACCTCTTGCCATATTTCATGCTGCCTGGCCCCAGTGGGAAAGCTAAATACATTTGTTTAATAGATAATAATTAATATGAGGCACATTGACTTGGACGTGCCTGTAAGACTTTCAGGTAGAACAAAGAATAGGCAGTTGGGATTGGAGCACTGAAAGGTCACCAGCAGGGCAAGGATGGAAGCAGGGTTTAGGGTCATTAGGATAAAGGTGAGCAATCTCTGGAGGATTAGGAGATGCAGGGAAGGAGGAGAACAGTCAGAACTTCCAAGAACAGACCAGAAGCCACACAGCCTGTGCTCACACTCTGGTCCTGACTCTTGTTGCTTATAAATCTTGAACAGATTTTTAAAACTCTTTGTGCCTCGGTTCCTCACCTCCAAAATGAGATTTTAATAACACTTGCCTCCGAGGGTTATGCTAATATTTAAATGAGCTAATAAACTCTCAGAACAGTGGCAGAACCATTGGGCACATGGGAAGTATACAATAGATAAAGCTGGAGGAATGCTGGGAGAGTTGTGTTTTCTCTGGATGCGAGGTACAGCATATCTGGAAGCCAGAGTTGATCTCTGACTACGTCATTCCTCATCTCCTTGTGCTCAGTGGCAAGCCAACAGAAGGTCTGTCTGCTTTTCTGCTTGGAGTTTATTGTTGTGGTTGTTTTCTTTCGTTTCTTCACTCCCTGGTCTTATCAAAAGAAGCTGCAAAAACTTCCCCAAAGCTGTTCTGAACTGGAGCATAGGGAGAGGCACAGTACAGCAGCAAGAGCATGGGCCTTCAGCATCAAACAAAGTTAAGCCTGAACCGCAGCTCTGCCACTCAGATAGGGAACAGACTGCTATGACCTGCCCGAAGCACCTCAAGCCAGAGGGAGAGAGTTGCTGACTATACACTTCTGGAATGAATAAATAAGGCTGGTGTGAGGGCTAAATGTGAGTGCACTCATAAAACACTCAGCACACTACCTGACACACTATAAGGGTCAATAAACATTCCCCAAGTGGAAGCTGCATAAAGTCTCATTTTTAGGACTGGCAGCTGGGTTGCCATTCCTGTGGTAAAGGCCTGTGTAAGGCAACCAATGTCAGGTCTGAACTGTTTATTCCTGTCATTAAAAAGTATTTTCAGTCAGAGTGAATGGATAAAGAAAATGTGGTATATTTGTGCAATGGAAAACTACTCAGCCATAAAAAAGAATGAAATTCTGTCATTTGCAGCAACATATATGAACTGGAGAACATAATCTTGAATAAAACAAGCAAGACACAGAAAGACAAATACCACATGATTTCACTCATTTAAGGAAACCAGCAAATAAACCTTGTAAGAGTACAAAACAGAACAGTACATCTCACTAGAGATGGGAAAGGAGAGTGGAGAGGAGGGAACAGAAAGAAATTAAATGAGACTTTTAAGGACTAGGAAGAATGCTAGAGAGGAGAAGGAAAGGGAGAAGGAGGGATTCAAGAGTAGAAGAAGGGTAGCTCAACAGATCAATGCAGGATGTGTGCATATATGGAGATATCACAAATCAAGCCTACTAATTTATATAATTAATATGCATTAATATTATACAATTAATATGTATTAATATAATAAAGTGCTTTCAGTTCATCTTTTAAGAGAGTAAGTTCACTTCAACTATAGTTTTTTGTTGTTGTTGTTCCTGCTATATTGTGTTGTTTTGTCCTGCTCTTTTACCCAAACTGGCCTTTAATTCCTGGGCTAAAGCGATCCTTCTGTCTCAGCCTCCCCAGTAGATGGGATTGCAAGCATTCATCACTCAAGCAAACTAATTTAGCGTTGCTAGGATTCAGCACTGAACCAAGTACAGAAGATGAAGGCAAAAAGAATATTAGAAAATCCTTACACCCTAGTGGGATAAGTGCTGTAAAGATGCAGATGAAGCACAAGAGGGAGCAGAGAGGTGTGGAGGTGTCAGCACAGCTCTCCACAGGAAATAATGAATGAGTTGCCACTAACAGAAGCTCAGCAAGGAAGGAACACACCGGCAGAGGACACAAGAATGGGCCTTGCAACCCTTCTTTGTAACCAGGACTCCAATTTTCCTTTGGAGAAACCATCCATCTCTGACACCCACAGTCCATGTCTTTTGAGTGGAAATGTTCCCTCTGAGCCCCACTCCAAGAGTGGAACTAGGCCAGGCAAACACAATGGCTCTCACAGGCCAATGAGACCACTGCCTGGAGAGTATGATGGAGTCAGGGAAAAAGAACTCTAGCTGCTTCTAAAATCCTACATAGCTCTTGGGCTGTCCAAGTCCTCACATGCCATCAGGTGACAACCTACTCAGCATGACACCACACAGTGGAAAGCCAAGTCATGAAAATGAGAAAAGGTGATCAAGTGACATCTTTTGGGAAGTTGGATTCAGCTATGTGTTCCTAGATTTCTAAGTGAGGTCAATAAATCCTACCCCTCCCACCTATCCTTTTATGCCACAGTAAGTTTCACCTGGGTTTCTTGTTACTTAAAATGGGAAGAGGGCTGGCAAATTCAGGCACAGAAACACAGAGTCCTATAATTGCTATATAATAGGTAAGTAGTATAATAGAGTTATTTACAAATAATGAGGAGCTCAGAGGACAGTTGACTTGACTTGAAGGTGGGGTAAGCTGGGAAAGTTTTCACAAACTGATGTGGAAATGAACTCTTGAAGAACTAGCCATCAGCAACAGGAAGAAGGGAAAGAAGACAGCATGAGCAGAGGCAGGAAAGTGGGAAAGACCACAGGATGGTTGGCTAAGGCACTGAATCAGGGAGAAAGCAGACTGAAGAGACTTGTCTTCTCTGCAGGCAATAAGCAGTCGCTGGTGATCAAACCAGACTCCTCACCTCTGATTTAACCTCCGAGACCAGGAGATTCACAGGTCTAATAAGGCAGACCCATGCCTACAGATTGATAAAAATACATCAACTTCTTACCTGTTGATAGAACTCGTCATCTTTGGGGGTCAGATAAGGAAGCCAAGTGTCTTCAAGCTCCTCAAGAAGCCTCAGTTTCTGTTTAAAAATATTGAAATTATATGTGACTGGATATAAAATGACTCAAATATAATACATCTTATTTTTTCAATAAGACAATAACCAAAAAGTCTTAGCCAACATGAATGTATAAACTTTTAGAGATAGACATTAATTGAATGCCAATATAAAATGCACTAATTGAATGACATGCATTTTAAATTCCAGTATATAAACTTAAAAATGATTTTGTTCACACTCAGATTTCACAGGCAGTTTGATTCACTCTTCACATGTGTATTGGCAAGATGATTTTTTTCATTACTAGCATCACCCTCTGAGTCACCCAATACAGTTTTAGAGCAAATCTTCCTGTCTGTATACAGTTCCAGACCCTTGTACAATACTATCCCTGTAAATACCAAACTACGCTACAAGTCTCCACTTGCGCAACATCAGGATATTTGGAATAATTATTCATCCTATAAACATTTATTTGCTTTTTTAAAGTGATCTTTAAGGTCAGGCACAGTGTCTTACACCTGTAATCACAACTACACAGGAGACAGAGCTTAGAAAGATCACAGTTTGGGGGGAGGAGGAGGAGGAAGAGGAGGTGAAGAAAAAGAAATGAATGTCAAAGAGGAGATGAAGAATGAGAAAGAGAGATGGTGTGGGGGGATCTGCTACATGTATACATGTATATGTTGGAAGACAGCAAAATGAAATCAAATGCTGTTTGAAAACAGGGGAGGAGAAAAGGGAAATGGGAATGAAATCAAGGGAGTGAACTTGTTCAATGTACACTGTACACATGTATGGAATTACCACAGTGAAATCCCCTCATATTACTAATGGGTGCTCATTCAATTAACAAAACTTTTTTAAAAAGAAAAAAATAAAAATGGCACAAATAAGTAGTTTTCAAATGAAACTATAACAAAAATGCATCATCCGGGCTGTTGTTAGCCAGTAAGACATCATTCTAAGAATTAGAATACAGTATACCTTGCTCTGGGCCAATGCAGCCCACAGATTAGAGTATGGTTTGGTAAACACAAACTGTATTTTATTCCTTACCTGCTCCAATAGGTACTGTCTACACAGTGTCAACAAACTCAGCCAGACACAGTAGTCTAGAGTATTATCCTCCAGGAAGGCAGCCTTCTCTCATGAACTCATCCTAATCAGAGTAGACCAGCGCAAGCATTCTTTTGGGTAGAACTCAAATTCTTTCTGGGGCTTTTTAATCATAATCCAGAATGGATAATGAGAAGGGGAATACAAATATAACAAGTCATCAACCTATAAAACATTAAATTCTACTTTTATGCATAATTCTAGCCTATTCATTTAATTAAAGCCTTTGTTATGATGGTGGGTAATTTCTCATCTATAATGGTAAGAGCCATTTAAACTATGAACATAGCACAAACAATAGTTTGGATAACTCACTAACTGGATGATTGACTTATCTGCTTTTAGAATTAGCCATTATTAGGGTCATTAAAAGAAATAATGATATTTCCATGAATATACTTGCACATTTCTGCACACCACCACTGATCTGATAAATTTTAATTTTAAGCTCAAGAAAGCCTGACTTTCCCGATAAATCTTTCACAAGTTCTTAGTATATTTTTATAAACACAAAGCACTAGAATATTTATAAATGCCATCAAAAAAATTTAAGCCTTGAATAATTCAAAGGTTCCACCTAGCAAACACCACATTAAGATCTCTTCATGAAAGTCTATGACTAAAGCTAATCTGTTCTAAGGAGATACATAAAGGTACAGATTCCAAAAAGGAATTACATAATCCGTCTAAATCAGACTAAACACCAGTGGACCTAGCCCATAGATCAATAGGTGTCGATGGAGGCTAAAACTTTTTATAACAAATGCTTCAGCTAAATTTTTAGGAAAACAACCACTTCCCAGTTCAACTGAGGTCCAGAGCATCAGATAGCTACAAAACATTGTAACCTAGAAGACTATGTTGAAAGGATAAAGTTCTATAAGAACATTCCTGCTATCCAGAGCCAGCAGAACATAACCAGTCTTCCTCTTCTAGGAATTTTACTTCAGTGCTATGAGCATTATTGTATTTACAGGACACAGGGAAACAGGAGGCAAGAAACCATCCAACGTAAGACCACACAGGTGAAGTCTGCTCTGTATATCAACACTGATGACTTGTAATTTTACCAACTGACTCACAAGATCAGTATCAACAACAATATTTATGAAGTTAAAAAGAAGTTTGCGTCAAGTTTACATTAGTAAAACCAATCAGAAAGCAACATTAAGTTAAATTGGTAATTCATGAGCACCAAATTTTAAAATTATGATTACTTTACAAAATGAAACATTGCTTCATAAAAAGCAAAGTCACTGTAAGACTAGAAGAAACACGTTCTCTGAAACTTTGCTGTCAAGAATATTAAATGATACATTTATAGATTCCTTTCAAAATTTAAATGCTTTTTTCCCTTTTACTTCTCAGGATTTATCTTACAGATATACTCAATCATGGTTCATATAAACGTATGTACAAAGTTACTCATCACATCGTTATTTATAGAACAAAAAGCTTGGAAACATTAAAAACCACTGAACTGCACCTTTCCAAGGGTGAATTTTATGGTATGTGAATTACCTCATTGAAACAAAAAGATTAGAAACAATATAAATGTCCACACACAGAGGATAGTAAAATAAACTAAAGTATAGCCACACAATGAAATACAGTATACAACAGTAAACAAGAGCAAAGAAGCTCGCTGTGAGTAAAATAAAAAGCTCTCCAGTAGTTACTGGCAAGTGAAAGAACAGGGTACAGATAAAGGGGATTAGAAAAATAAGAGATGGTACTACGCGAGGGGTAAGTACGATCAGAGTCTGTCACATGCATGTAGGAAAATGTCACAATGAAACTCATTATTTTGACAATTAATATACACTAATAAACAAATAAAAAATTTAAATGATGAAAAGAAGTATAACCTAGACCTGCTTGAAATAAAGATGTATAATAAAACAAAAATAGATAGAATGGATTCAGTTCTAATACCTAATCTCCACACCTTACACAGGTAGTGTCAAAAGGTAGATCCATGTTTCTGTGTCTAACTGTATATTATTCTAAGAATCAACAAATGATCTCATATTGCAAAACAAGACATACCCTCATGGAATTGGGTACACATGTATAAATGAAATTATGCTTGTTATAAATAATAACAAATGCCTATGAAACATGGATTTCTTAATAAGCAGAGAAGTGCCTACTAACCTCCCCCTCCTCTGCCACCACCAAAAAAAAGACCCAAGATTCAAGACCTACTTGTATTTATTCAGAAACATATAGGATATGAGACCACCTATTAAAGTGGTATCTGTCAGAAGCAGAGGTAGGACTAGAAGGAGATAGGGCAGAGCAGGGGCCTTCAAAATATCCCATTTTATATTATCTTGAACAATATAAACATATAGTCTACTCGACCTATTACCTACTGCCAATTTAAACATATTATCTATGAGTTCTTAACATGGAATTCAGTATAAAAATACAGAAGTTATGATTTGGGGCTTTGCTTTGGAAAGTACATACCTTCATCCACGTACAATGAAGTATTTATTTGGGAAACTATCACAGACTAGCGCACTAAAGAGTAAAAGGGGAGAAGCAGTTCTGACAATTCCTTTGTGTCAAATGCTAGCCAGTAGGTAGACACACACCACATTAAAATGCACTCTGGGCCGGAGGCAGAGGGGCTCGCACTTGATTGTCAGATCTGCCTAACCGCTGCTCCTCAGCCTGATGTACGCATAAATCCACACAGCTGGGCATGGCAGCACACTGCTCTGCTCACACGCTTCTTTGCTGTCACACTCATGTCAAATACATCAAGCTGTTCACAAATGCCACACAGAAAAGCAAAGAAAGAGAGCAGAGCCTCAGCTGTGCAACCTGGCAGGAGGAGCATATGAAGACCCCCTCTACGCGGGCTACAGTCCATTTCTATAGCTCCTACAAGTAAAGGGACACAAGACCAGACGTAAGCAACTCAAACCATAAAGGTCTGAAGTTGGATATCAGATACTACTCTAGGCCAAAGCCTCTGCTTCTCTATGAAAAGCTGAGGTATATTTGAGCTTGCATATCTTGTCAAAGAAAGATATCCCTTGATTAACTGGATTATGACTCCTATGGCAAGGGTGCGTCTCATGTACAAATGACGTATTTTTTTGTCCCACTCCTTTCTCTTCAGCTTCATCAGATGCTGCTGCTAACAACTCCTTATCCATCTTTCATTGTCCATGTAATGGTTTTGAAACTGTACATCACACTGTGTTAGGTTTAATAAAAATTTAATTTTGTTATCTGAGTATTTTCATAAATACAATCACAAATAAAGGCCAATGAATGAATGTTCACTGTGATCTTATGAGGGTTTCAAGCAAGCGGGAAACTGACGGAGCCCGTTAGCAGGGTAAGGAAGACATATCACAACAAACACCAGAAAGATCCATAGGGAGTAACTAAACAAAAAAAAGGAAAACTAAATATCTTCTCTATAATATGCCATATTTTTTAAATATAAAAACAAAGAAATGTCTCAACCATGTCAATGAACTTGGTGTTCCCTGTCCTATTCTCAATAAAAACAGGAAATAGTAAAAAGAACTAGAATCTGAAGGCAAGAGTGAGCAGAAACTCTGTCACTTCCTAGGTATGAAACCATACCTGAATCAACCTCTCTCAATCCCTGTTTGCTCATCTGCAAAATAGTAATTCACAGGATTTTTATGAAGAAGGAGTAAATATTCCACATTAGTGCATTCTGCAAACCATAAACAATGCAGATTTTCAGCAAATGGCAGAGAAGTATCTATATAACAAAGCATTAGCTAGAGAGCCAAACTCTGAGTTCCCATGCCACTTCTACCCTCTAGGCACATGATTTGGGACTAGTTTCTTACCTCCCTCTGAGTAGTAAAGCAACACATTTAAGAATCTACAAACAGTGCCTG